ACTAAAAAATACAAAAAACTAGCTGGGCGAGGTGGCGGGCGCCTGTAGTCGCAGCTACATGGGAGGCTGAGGCAGGAGAATGGCATAAACCTGGGAGGCGGAGCTTGCAGTGAGCTGAGATCCGGCCACTGCACTCCAGCCCAGGTGACAGAGCAAGACTTCATCTCAAAAAAAATAAAAAATAAAAAATACTTGAAGTATTGGAGAAACTATACCTCTTTCCCTGCTACCTGGTTCAAGAAATAGTGCCTGAGATTTCTTTAAAAAAAAAATAGAAAGTTATCCTAATAAATATAATTGTTATGAACAGATACACTGCATTATCTAATACAGTTTTCATGACCAGCTTCATTTTACAGATAAGAAAACACATGGAAGCACAGAGATTGCAGTAGCTTGCTTGTGATCACACAGCTAAGAAATAGCCTGAGGGCCCATGCCCTCTGATGTGGAGTCACCACATCAGACTGACTCCAGAGGGCACTGCTGTTTCAGAGCCAGCACCAAATGAAAAGACAGAAGATGTTTTTGAGCAAATAAATGCAGTGTGTGTGGGTTGGGTGAGTTTTCCAAAGGTTACCTTTGCAGTTTTGGAATGCAAGATCACATTAGAAAGCTAGTGAAACCTGGAGAAAAACACTCAACAAACCGTGACTCTGCAGAACAATCTTGTGACATCTAGAGAGCTCTGTGCTCACTAGCACAGAATGTGAAGTAAGTGCACACAGGATTAAACAAAATCAGAGCAGGTTGGCTCTTGCACATTGTGCTGTCAGTGGACACTATTAATGAGCCCTTGGTGATTTGAAAATAGAGCCATACCAGAGGCATATGAACTGTGCATGGACTAAGTTTTTTCTTCTGTCTCCCCTATTGAGTTCTAACCTTGTGGTGTGTGAAGGTGTCTCTGGTGTCTACCTCTATTAGTGGGACCAGTGTGTGTGAGGGAAGCTTGTTGAGCCTCTGCATGATTTTTAAACCCCACTGAGCTGTCACCTTTGAGGAGGAAAAACATCCAGCATAGTGTTCCCAAAGTGTGAGGAGCCCCAGGGGTGTGTGTGGCGGGTGGGTGATGCATATGGAGATGGTGGTAAGGCACAGGAAGAGCTTCAAGGGTGACAACAAATAAAGTCAAACAAAGAATACACAATGTGTTTCAGGGAGAACACTTGGATTTACCAAGTAGCAGAAGTGGGAGCAGACTAGGAAGTATATCTTAAGGACCTGAGGCCAGGAGCAACCTGTGATCCCTGTGGTTGAAGGGAGCAGCAGGAACAGTTCTGTGGGCAGGGCTACACCAACAATACCCCATGTATGACGCAAGGACCTCCACGTAGGAAGGGCCTTTTCTGAGCTTTGGTTACCCGGGAATCCAAAAACCATTCTCCTCTTGCTTCTCAAGTGTAAAACTCATTTTGAAAAAGCAGTACAAAGTTGTATTTTTATTATTTTATTTTATTTTTTTGCCTCTTTGAGCTAAATTTATGTACTTTGGAATTACTAAAATAGGGGATGTCATGCTGGGATTGATCCATTCTGCAAGCCAAATACTCATTTTTCAGAGTTTCTTTGGCCTAAAATTCCATTAAAATCCAAGGATGAAAGAGGACTTGGAAAAATTATGGCCCTCAAAGAAATTTTCTGTCTGGTGAGGGAGACAGAGACGTGTACCATCAACTGTGGTACAAGGTAGACTTCAGTGAGAGCTGTGATCAAAGTACAGGAAGTAACAAGAAAAGAGGCAGTAAGATTAACTCTTGTTCAAGGGATTTGAGAACGTTGTTTTCTTATCTCTGTTTCATTTCTTCATTCTTTTCCTCCAACTGCCTAAATGTGGATGTTCCAAAATTCTGCCTTTTCTTTCTTGTGTATTGACTCTGGTGGGAATCCTGACTATTCTCCTGGCTTCTCTTTTGGTCTCTTTGCTTTTTAAAATTTTTTATTGTGGTAAATAACGTATAATGTGAGATCTACCCTCCTGAAAGTTGTAAGTGTCTGGGAAAGTATTGTTAACTGTAAGCACAGTTGTATAGCAGATCTCTAGAACTTTTTCATCTTGCATGAATGAAACTCTGTACCCGTTGAATGGCAACTCTCTGTCTCCCGCTTTCGCCTGCGCCTGGTAACCATCGTTCTGCTTTCTGTTTCTAAGATTTTGACTACTATAGATAGCACATGTAAGTGGCATCATAAAGTATTTGTCTTTTTGTGAGCGACTGATTTCACTTGGCATAATATCCTTCGGGCTCATCCATGGGTTACATACTGCAGAATTTCCTTCTTTAATATGGCTGAATAATATTGATTGAATATATGTACCACATTTTGTTTGTTCGTTCATCCATCGATGCATACTTAGGTTGTTTCTGTATGTTGGCTCTTGGGAATAATGGTGCAGTGAATGTGGGAGTGCAAATATCTCTTCAAGACCCTGACTTGCAATCCTTTTGGATAGATACCCAGAAGTGGGAATGCTGAGCCATATGGTAGTTCTGCTTTTAATTTGTTGAGGAACCCGTGTACTCTTTTCTTTAATGGGTGCATTATTTTACATCCCCACCAGCAGTGTACAAGGGTTCTAATTTCTCCACATCCTTGCCAACATTTGTGGTTTTCTATTTTTTGGATATTGGACATCCTCGTGAGTGTGGGGTGATGTTTCATTGAAGATTTTATTTGTATTTCCCTGATGATCAGTGATGTTGAGTATATTTTCATATGCCTGTTGGCCATTTGTATGTCTTCTTTGGACAAATGTATGTTTAAGTCTTTTTTGTTTTTGAGACAGAGTCTCACTCTGTCGCCCAGGCTGGAGTTCTGTGGTGCGATAGCTCTACCTCCCGGGTTCATGCCATTCTCCTGCCTCAGTCTCCTGAGTAGCTGGGACTATAGGCACCTGCCACCACGCCTGGCTAATATTTTGTATTTTTAGTAGAGACAGGATTTCACCATGTTAGCCAGGATGATCTCTATCTCCTGACCTCATGATCCACCCGCCTCGGCCTCCCAAAGTGCTGGGATTACAAGCGTGAGCCACCGTGCGCAGCCTGTTTAAGTCTTTTGCCCAGTTTTTAATTGGGTTATTTGGTTTTTTGCTATTGTGTTCTAGGGGGTCTCTGTGCCTTTGACCCCAAATCTCCATGGCTGTACCTGGTGAACTCTACATGCATGTCTTCTGCTACTCCTCAGCTTGATCCTTCTGTCCCAGCAAGTAAACTGCTCCCCACTTCCTACTCCCTCACTCGGCTCTTGCCACCCTTCTTTTGGTTTCTGAAAGATATTTAGACCCAACTCTGACATATCTTAAAAATCCAGGTCAAGTTGAGTTTTCCATGAATTCTTCCCTGACCACCCAGCGTTTGCTCTCCCGCTGCTGAGGTCTCTAGTATTTGTCTCTGTTGCTTTTGAGGCATTTGGCAGAGACTGCTGCTGTGCATTGGAATGGATATTACATGTGGATATATTTTGTACTAACTGAACTGCCACCTCATGAAGGGAAGAGACTATGTGTCCTCCAGAGGACCTTACAGAGCATGTTGTCATACTGTAAAGAGGCAGGAATCCTTAGAAAGGTATGCGCATTGTGTGTTCTAGGTATGGAAGACAGAACTGAACTTCAAGCCTGACGGTGCTCTGGCAACAGAAAGAGGACATGAGGGAGTAAAGTCCAAATTCACAGTCCTTTGTCAATGAGCTGGACGGGGCAGGGAGGAAAGACAAAAGTCAGTGACTAGGATCGTTTTAGCAAGCTGGAATTGAAATAGACAAGCAGGTTTACAGGGGAAGGTCATTACTGTAATCTGAGGCATGCTTTGCTGGATTTTGGCAGGCAGGGGTGACCGGTGTATGCTGGGAGCCAGAGAGAAGCTGAGTTCACCTCACAGTTCTGTAGGTAGTCAGAATATCTGCTGATAGCGGGGGCCAGCCGTACTAGCAGTCTGATCTTCTCTACTCTGAACACCCTGTTCCAGAGAATTCATGGCTTCCAACCCTGGTATATCTTGCCAGCAATGCTATGTGAATGGTTAGTCCACGACTAAGCTATAGGTCACCCAGAAGCCCCCAGGACAGCTGTCAGGAGGCCAAGACTCAGTACAAGGAGGCCACAGGGCAGACCACTGGGTTGCACATGTAATATGGCTCTTGTGCTAACACTGGTACCCCATGTTTCTTGCCAGAGGCTGGAGTACCATTCCCTCATGAAGGTCCTTCACCTAGTGACCTTTATTGCCATCTGCATGGGAATCCTCACACACCCTTCCTGCAGTTGGGTTTTTACAGCCTCCAGGACCCTGCCTCCCACTCTGAGCTTCAGCATTCTGTCCTGATAATGTCATAGCCAGTTCTGGTTTTCGTGTTACTTGAGAGGGTTCTAGCTAGAGGACTAGTTGTGGGTCCCCATCTTGTACCTTTGGAATGTCCCTGAGTAGGTCAAAGCCTGCTCTCACATGAATCTGGGGAAGCCCGGCAGCCTGGCCTTGCCTCTCCAATGGGAGGGGAAATGAGGAGGGAGTAGGCTGTCTGAACTGCTTGGTATACCTGACAGTGGACTCTCTTTCTGCTCACTGACCCTGAGAACAGCTCTGTCCTTTATGGCTCCTCCTTGACCCTCTCCCGCCCTCCAACTGTCATTATCCTGGGGCGTTGATTTCCAAACCTGACAGATATGGAGAATCACCAGGATACTAAAAAAAGAGGGCCCTATCTATCTCTGGAGATTCTCTTTATTTAACTAGTTATGAATGAGGCCTGGGAATCTGGCACTTTTGTACAGATATATGTAAAGTATCTATTGGAAGGATGAATAAGAGACTTAACTGAGTTGCTGAGTAAGTTTTATTTCCTTTTTTGTCCAACTCTGTGCTTTTTGGCTATTAATGGTCACAAATTGTTTTTAGAAATCAGAGAAAGAATAGATGTCATTACAAAACAAAAAACACATCCTGAAATGATCTTTCAGAAACAATTAATCCTCTTAAATTTGTTCCTCTTTTCCACAGGGGGACTCGATCTCATCTTCATGCCAGGCCTTGGGTTTGACAAACATGGCAACCGACTGGGGAGGGGCAAGGGCTACTATGATACCTACTTGAAGCGCTGTTTGCAGCATCAGGAAGTGAAGCCCTACACCCTAGCGTTGGCTTTCAAAGAACAGATTTGCCTCCAGGTCCCAGTGAATGAAAATGACATGAAGGTAGATGAAGTCCTTTACGAAGACTCATCAGCATCTTAAATCTGGATTACTACAGCCGAATAATCAGTGTTTTATATGAGAGTAAAGCAAAGTATGTGTATTTTTCCTATGTCAAAAATTAGTTGAAATTGTACAACTAATTTTTGTGAATACAGACTGCATTTTAAAATTGTAATTATAAAATACCTTATATAAAACTATCTTTAAAAACCAATAGAAGTGTGACTAGTAGAATATTAATTGAAATGGAGGCTATCAGCCTATGATTTTCAGCTTAACCTCCTGATGTTAATGTGACAAGTTGATCTGTCTACTTTGCAACTTAAGTTAAATATTTATGAGGAACTGTGCCCCGACTGAGTGCGAGAGGAAGGTAAGCTCACTGGGAGTGGACACTGTATTTCATTATGTCCTGTCGTGACCTGGTCAGTCCTGGCAGGTGCATGGAGACTTGGGGACTATTAATTGATTTGTTGGTATTTGCTTTGGACACAGAATTCCCTAAGAATATTATCTCACTTCATCATGACTTCCTTTACTCACTCTAGAATTTTATGTTGGACACTTTGTAGCTTTTAGTGGTTAGTAGAGGGAAACCTTTTATGATTTAAATACTTTCACTCTACTTATTGGTTACCATCACTGCATGTATCAGCACTTGATGAGTTTAAGATCTGGTATCTTATAAGTTAGAAATTATTTCTGTTTACTCATGGTTTCTGCTTTGGAAATGAAATTTGCTGTGGGTTGAAAGTTGGCAGATGGCACCACAGCTAGGGAGCAATAATTTTGTTGTCGGGATGATTTGGTCATCCTCAGAAACCCAGGAGTCTTAATAGACACGGCTCTCTTACTCACACCCCTTGTCCATCCTGTCACCAGGTCTTGTTGATTTTGCCTCTGAAATGCCTCTTAAATCTATTCTCTCCTTTCGATTGTCCTGTCACTGTTTTTGTCCAGCCTTTTAGCATTTCTAAGCTGGACTAGGCAAGAGTGTCACACCTGCTTCCCTTGCCTTCCATCTTGCCTCTTCCAGTTTATTTCTCAAGCTGTGGTCAAACTGATCTTAGAAAACACAAATCTAATCGTGCAGCACCCCTGACTAAGGTCTTTCAGTGGCTGATCAGAGCCTCCTGGGTAGCAAACAGATGGCTTCTGTTGTATACAAAGCTCCTTAAGAGAGGTCTCCTCATCTACTTTTTCTAGCCTCTTGTCTCCCCACTCTCATCTTCTCCTTCTGTAACACTGAGCACTGCAGGCTTCTTCTGCCCTTTGCACATTGTAAGCATGCATTTCTCTCTGTCTGAAATGCTCTTTCTTTTGTTCATCTAGAAGGCTGTTTACCCTTAAAAACTCAGCCATAGCATCACCTCTTCTGTGAAGTCCTCTGCTACTTTCCCAAGCAGAGTGAGTGTTCTTTCCCTTGTCTGAATGGCCCTGGCCATTGATCTGCTTATCATGTTGTCTTACGTATCAAATTATTTGTTGTCATATCTGTCCCCTTTACCGTACTGTGAGCTCCAAAGAAGAGAAGTGATCTTTATACTTCTTATGCTTAGTAGACAACTAGACATATAGTGTGTGTGTGTGATAATTTTTTAATGAAATAATTGAATACATTGGAAGTGTTTCATTCAAAACAGTCATTATTCTTTGGATAATAGCATAGATTTGATGTTTTATGCGCAAAAGTAAAAACATTTGAAAAATACATTTGAAAAACCCATTTAGGCTAAATATGGATTTGTACAATATAATATGTACGATGAGAAATGGGAAGGAAACCGAATTCTTACAAGCTATGAAGTCACATTATTGTACTGGTTAAAAATATTGGTAAGTATTATTTTGACTATAAGGTTAAAATGAATGTTAATGTAGCTGACATGACTGTTGGTCTGAAATGGTTGAGCAGTAAAATTCCTGACCTGCTGCAGGTCTAGAAAGTTTAGTATTGTTGAACTCAGTCTATGTTATTCTTCTATTAAATGAGAGCATTTAAAAACCACTCTACCAGCTCCTCAAGTGCGGACAGAATGCCGAGTTAACTGGCCAGAAAATGCAGGGTGCTGAGATTCAAGAAAGTCAGAGGGCCATAGGGTCTCTGGCCTGGAAAGAGAAGCACTCCCTCGTGATCAGTAATGCACAATATTTGTGCAGAGGGTATTGGAAGGGAGAAAATGCCCCTATGATGCAGGTGATGACAACACTGTAACTCTGATTAGGGCATACACAGAGGCTGAAGACAAGGCCTTAGACTCAGGAGGCAGGCACTTCAGTACAGGCTAACATGAAGCAAGAATGGTGAGCGTCTCAGATGAGGGGACAATCTGAGTAGAAGAGAAATAGCAACTAGATCTGAACAAAAACAATTTCAAGTATTGGGAAATTGGAAATATATCAGGGCCCCAACATAGGTCTGTGCTTGCTGTATGTACTACAGAACTGTGCTTAATTTAATTAGAAAGTAAACTATATAAAGTTCTAGTCAAGAGCATTACACATTTAATCACAAAGTCTTACTAACTAGGAGATTGATAAATGTGTCTAGGCATGAGTGTCTTACTACAGAAGCTCAGTTCTTGGTCGCAGGTTTTTTTTTTTTTTTTTTCCCTACAGAGATCATTGAAATTCAGTTGATCATACTGCTCTTCAGTCATATGTTTACATGCTTAATTTCTCCACTATCCTACGGTCTCCTCAAAGGCAAATTCTCTGCCAAGTTCATGGTTTATTCCAGTATCTACCACAGACATGCAAAATAAAGAGCCAATAAATTCTTTTTTTTAATTGTTCCAGCAACATTTATTGAATATGTAACTTTATGTCTGTTATAGAGTGAGTTCTCCAATATATGTGAATCTGTTTGCTGGCTTATTCATTGTCCCTTTGCTATGTTTTTCTGTCTCAGCACCAGTCCCAGATTGCTTTAGTTCTCACAGTTTTAAGTCTTGATGGCTATGAGGGTAAGCCTCCTTCCTAATTCTTCTGCAGGAATGTCGAAGAGCCAGTAAATTCCTGATGAAGGAATGAACCAGTTTGAATATTGCCCTGTCTGTGCTGTGCGCTTGCTCATTTTTATGTTGGTTGCTGTTTGCTGCTGAGATTCTATCCCCTTGGGGCATTGTCTCAGGCTTGGATTATTCCAGAGCAAGTTTTCTATTACTGCGTTGCGTTGTGTTGGGCAGTCCATATATGTGTGTCGCATTGTCTGTGCTACTTTTCCTTCTTAGTGCTCTCTTGTTTGCTTTTTGTGGTTGTCTTCTTCCCTATTCCTGGATGGTCATAGACCTCCTGCCCTTTAATGGTAGTTTCCAATACCTATAAGCACCCACCCCAAATATGTTTATTTATATGCTTAAAGTAATAATAAATTTTTCTGAGTAATAACATACACATAAAATATACACACAAGAAGTATGAGATAATGTTGACATAGTATATATGATATATAATTTATAATATACTTGTTTATATATATTTTATACATATACAAATAAGTATAATATACTCATTTTTAAAAACAGCAATATGATCAAGAGCAGCATGAGATGATGTTGAAGTAGAATATATTATATATAATTTATAATGAACTTTTTAAAAAAGCAATGTTTTTTAAATAAAATTTTTTGGACATTTACTATTTTTGAAAACCTTATTTTAACACCTTTTGAATGATTCAAAATTCTGGTTCTGATTTCAGTTTATGTCAGTATTTGGTCTTAAGGGCTGTTAGAGCTGAAAAAAATACCTTCTAGAGAAGCAGATTCAGATGGAAGGAAAACTATACCTACTAAAATTTTCAATCCTGTTTACCAATGTTCCAAAGATAAATTTTTTTAAATTTAAATCTGGCTGGTAAATATCCATTTTCTTGATGTGAATATGTAGTTTTTGCATGTTAATCAGAAGGTGCTGCACATTTACTTTGTTAATAAGTGGGGGCTGGAGCTTGAGGTTACTGTGAGCTGTGATTGCGGCACTGAACTCCAGCCTGGGTGACAGAGCAAGACCCCAAACAACAATAAAAACACATAAAAAACAAATAGATTCAAAGCTTATTGAAATTCTTTCAAATATTTTAAATCAAGTTAGAAAAGTTCTGCTTACAAGTTTTTTAGTTGTGTAGATGTGAAAGTGTTTGTAGATGTCACACTGTTAATAGGTTTTGACAACACAGTCATGTAATGATGAAAATATTTCCAAATAGCCATTTTTATATGCACTCTCCATACTACGAGTCACTGAAAGTAGTTCCTTTCTGTCTCAGTGATGAGATATAACTTTCACTCTGAAAATTCAAATGAGATGTATTTATTACTTTGAAGTTTACTAGTGGCCATTTACAATCTCAGAAAGGTCAGAAAATGTGGAATACTTGCTCTTTGTGCAAAAAATACACATAAAACTAATATTTAAGTTTACAGCTTTATTTATTTATTTATTTTTTGAGACAAGAGTCTCTCTGTGTCCCCCACCTTCAACTGGAGTGCAGTGGTGCAATCTTGGTTCACTGCAACCTTCGCCTCCCGGGTTTAAGCGATTCTCCTGCCTCAGCCTTCCAAGTAGCTGGAACTACAGGTGCCTGCCACCACGCCCAGCTAATTTTTGTACTTTTAGTAGAGACGGGATTCCACTATGTTGTCCAGGCTGGTCTTGAACTCCTGACCTCGTGATCCGCCTGCCTCAGCCTCCCAGAGTGCCAGGATTATAGGCGTGAGCCATCACTCCTGGCCAGTTTATAGCTCTTTTAAAAGTATTTTAGCTTGAGATGATCAGAGAAATTTAAGTGAATCAAAGATTGTTTGTGGGTACTTCCTATTGCATCCCAAAGAGTTGTAAATATTCTACTATATATTAAAGGTCTTAATTTTATAAACTTCACATCAGTGATACCCTCAGCACATGGGGCGTCTTGCCTGTGAATTATTTAGTAATGCTATTGCTCAATTCTTAATGTGGAATCTACCATCTCACATTTATATATATATATATTTACAGACAGGAATGCAGTAGTGTGATCTTGACTCCCTGCAACCTCCGCCTCCTGGGTTCAAGCAGTTCTCCTACCTCAGCCACCCGTGTAGCCGGGATTACAGGAGTGTGCCATCATACCCAGCTAATTTTTGTATTTTTAGTGGAGATGGAGTTTTGCCATGTTTCTCAGGCTGGTATTGAGCTCCTGGCCTCAAGTGATCTGCCCACCTCGGCCTTCCAGAGTGCTGGGATTACAAGCGTGAGCCACTGTGCCCAGCCCCATCTCAAATTTAAAAAAACA